ACAAACCAATTGGTTATCACAGAGGAAACAGCAGCAAATGACTTTTAGCCACTTTGCAGCGTGAAAAGACCATTCCAGAAGACAGTGGTGTGGTGAGAGGTCTGAAGTAAAGCACTTGCAGCACTGGACTTTTTCTCTTTAACAGAAATTGAATACTGTGCTGGTTTTTGGCAGGGAGAGAACTAATTTTCTTCATTACGGTTTCTATGGAGCTCGGTTTGTGCTGGAAACTGTTGACATTCCAGAGATGTTTTGAGCAGTGCTTACACAGAGCCAAGGCCTTTTCTCTTCTCACACCACCGCTGAGTGGACTGTGGTCCAAAAGAGCTGGGAGGGAACACAGCCACGACAGCTGACCCCAGCTGGCCATAGGGATATTCCAGACCATGTGGCATCATGCTCAGCGCATAAAACTGGGGCAAGAGCAAAGAAGGGATGCTTGGAGCTATGATGTTTGTCTTCCCAAGTCACTATGCATGATACAGTCCTGCTTTCCTGGAAATGGCTGAACACCTACCTGCCCTTGGGATGTTTTGTTTTTCTTGTGTGCATAGCTTTTCTTTACCTATTAACCTCTGAGTTTTCTCATCTTTCTGATTCTCTCCCCATCCCACTGTAGGGGGAGTCTGCGAAAGTGAGCTTGTGACTGTGTGGGGCTTTGTTGCCAGCTGGGATTAAACCACAAGAAACACTTCTGCTTGTTTAGTTCTCCTGCAGAGTAGACATACACTCTGTAGGTTTAGTGAAATTCCCAGAGGAAAGGGGAGATTGCACCTTCCCTCGGAGCTGCTGAGTATATCTCCAAGAGCACAGGCTGGGGCAGGCAGCATAAGGAGGACAGAGAAGACAGATCAGGAGACCTTGGCAAAGGGCTTGATTGTAGCAGAACCACAAGAAGTCATGGAAGCGAGGGAAAAGGAGCTCAGATGTGATCATGTTAAAAAATGTGCAACCTGAAAGTCAGCAAAAGCGTGTGGAGTAGAAAAGAGGACTGAGGGAAAGAACCTGTTCTTTAGGGGCAGAGGGAGCAGAGGAGATTTATTTTCATGACTTTTACTTTCATGAGTAAAGCCAGCAATTCTGTGTCCCTTGCAGACATGTCACTTTAGGATGTATTGATTTATGTTCTAATAAAATATACTTTTAGGTACTTAAATGGCTTTTGGTACACTCATTAGAAAGAGAAAGCAGGATACGTCCAACTTCAGTCCAAGGAGAGGTCCTACCAACATCTTCAAAGGAAGGAGGAAATGCTAAGGCTGACCAGGAAGGATAGGATAGGGATGAGGATAATTCCTATTTAAAGAACTGCCTTTGTGCTTGGGGATCCCATAGCTATTTACATATTAACTTCTGGGAATATACTTTTTGATTGCTTCTGAGTAAAGCTAACTCTGTGATAAGAACTAGCGAGTTTTGACATTTCCTGAGATTATATTTTAGTTTGAAATATAAACTTCATCAGAAACTTCCATGAAAATAAATGACATTATTCTTGGTTTGGAAGCTCCCCATCAAGTATTACCCAGGCCCAGTCCTTTTTTACTTGTGAGTCACTTCAAAGTCACTTCAGAAACACAAATTAACCAAACCTTTAAGGATCTTTGGCAGACACATTCTTTTGTAAAAGAAATCAAAAGATCCTGTTTCTAGCAGCATGTACCAAAAAAAAAAAGCAAATCAAGGAAGAAAATTCACAATTAATATTTACACTAATGCTGCTTACCTGCACTCTAGCAATATAGGAGGGCAGTAAAGTGAAGAGAGTTTAACCTTTTATATTAATAAGACCTCTTTGCAAAAGTATGGAGCTGTGTGGATAGGATAAGCAAGAAGACTTTTTACTAATTAATGTGTCATCTGGGGAAAATTCTTGTCATAGTTAAAGTCTTTAGAATCAATAACAAGATACAGGGAATTTCATAAGCCTTCTACAAATTTTCTGTAAACCTAAAATTGTATTTAAACTTGATTCAGCAGATTTTAAGCTTTCTGATGTGGTTTTTTATTTGAAGTGAATGGTACCTGATTCATTCAAAGGAGAATATGACAGAAAGGCACAGCAGAAAGCACCACTTTCACTGCCTCTTTCTTTACAGCCTTGAAGCTTGAAAACCCATTGTTTTACATTTTTACATTGCAATGAGCTGCTTAGGAGATGCTGAGTTGAAAGACAAGTAAACTTCTGCTGCTTTAACATGTAAATGGAAGTGTACCCGGTTCAATATGTGCAACACTGTCACTCTTGCTCAACATTTGCAATCATTATCCAAGAAAACCCCCAGCTCCAATACATGGGGCGGTTTGAGTGCTTAGGTTTGCTTAGTCATTTTCAGATGAGCTCAACCATACTCTGCGTGACTTGGAGCTCTGAGGCTCTCAGCAACATTAAAGTGGGAGAGGAAACACTTTGTTGTCCAGTTCTCAGAGGCACTCCTTGAACTCATCCAGAAACTATCACAACACAAAAGCCTTCTTTCAGTTCTGCTCCTGGTAAAATCATCTGAGTTTAAAACACACACCTCACATTTTCTTGGAATGCCATTAAGGAGAAAAATATTTGTCATTTAAAAACACCTCCGGAGTAAAAATGCATCACAAAACACTCTTAACAGCTGAAGTGTCTTCACCCAAAGGACACTTAATGCTCAAAATGAAAAGGCAAAAACCTTTGAAGGAATATATAGGAAGTTAAAATGCAGTGAAGTGTGTCCATTTTGCAAGTCAGAAATAATTTCCCCAGAAAGCAGTCAAATAAAACCAAAAGTACTTGAGCTGGAATGGTTCATTCACCTAGATTCAAGAAGATAATGAGATTTCAGACAATATTAGTAAGGTAAAACCAAGTGTAGTTTTCTCAAAGAGGCTAATAGTAATTATTTGACTAATTACTAAAGTTGATGCTCATTAAGACTGCTTCTTCTAACATTGTGAATGTTTAAGACCTGGGCTTCACAATGTGCTGGACAGCAGAAGTAATACAATTCCAGATCTAGGTAGGGAGTAGAAAAACCCAACAAAGCCAGGTCTTGTACCATGGAGGAAAACTGACAAGGGTTTCACTAATTCATGCAAAAATGTAATCTTCTAATTCTTTGCATAATCCAGATGAACTTTCAATTGCTGCTTTAGTGTATTTGCTTGTAAACTTTGGGGAGGGGGTTAGTATTTTTTGGAATGACTTGTGAAAAACTTATTTGTCAGTACAAATCAGATTGGTTAACTTGAGCTGTCTGTCCAGATTAATGGAGGTTTTGAAAGTAGTACTCTGATTTTCTCCTCACACACAGCTTTCATACTAAAACCATTATTCAGCCAAATGAAAAAACAACTTGTGTCTCACCAGTGACACAGAGAGCTGAGACATCAGTAGTTTACTGTCCCAAAGTTTAATGACCACCTACTAAAAGAGGAAATGAGTGAAGTGGTAAAGAGAGGTTTGTTTGGACTACAGCTATGGGTATTATTCTTATAAAGCCATTAATTGCAAAGTTTCACTCACATACATAGTGAAATCTAGGGATTGCTTGCTTTTAACTTCAGCAGAAGCCAGAGGACACAGAAGCCCCATTCCCTCAGCTGCTCTTCACACTGGATTACAACCTGCGCCTCAGACTTTTATTTTCTCTCAGTCTCACAAGTGCCTCATAAAAGAGGCGGCCTTTGTACATGTAGGCAACACTAATGCACATGTAAGAAAACCCTGAGACGTGAGGCAAAATCCTTCCCTCCTACACAAAGCTCCAGCAGTGTTGTGTGCACCTCAGCCATGGCCTCATGCTTGTTTGTAGCACTGCAGATATTGTGAAGTCCAGACCACAACTCCTGGGCTCCTTCTCACACATTCTTCTTTTTTCTCCTCAGGGAACACCTCCGTAGTGTTAGAGATGACTGCAGGTAACAGCTCAGTTCTCACCTGCCCTCTCAAAGGAAATATAACTATGTTAAGGTGGAAAATAACCCCCAAGGCTGGAGGCCTGTGCACCTTGGTATACAGGGTTGATACGAACGTGACACACAGAACAAGCTGCAGTGACAACATAAACTGGACGTTCAGAGCAGGTCTGCCTCCTGCCCTTGAGATACGGCAAGTGGGAATAGCCCAGGAGGGAAATTACAGCTGTGAAGTGGCAACAACAGAAAGGAATTTCGGCACAAGGTACCACCTGACCGTGCTGGGTAAGGAATGTGCAAAAGTGGAGCTGGTTTTTTTTGCTGTCCCTCAGGTGAGCTTCCCTTTGTATGCTCCGTGTTCAAACCCCTGCTCAGCTTCCTCAGCTCTTGTTCCTTCTAGGAAGGAAAGTCTCTAAAAGATACAGAAATCTTCAGTGAAGTCCTATAGAGACAAGAGTGTCATCCCTGACTGCCTTTGCCCAGAAACATCACTGATTTGTTTTGTGTTCTGGACACTATTTCCTAATGCTTTCTTCCCTAAGAGGGATATATATAAGGGTGGTAGTATTCTTTTGGTAGTGGAAATACTTTTGTAAACAGAGAGAAGCAGTCATTATCTTTGTATTGAAATAATCACTTGGAATGAGAATATTAGGATTTTTTAAATGCAAATTTTAATATGGTAAGAGAGACAGAGAGCTAAGTATCAAGTGGCTATCAGAAAAAATACATTCCTTCATTCAAGTTGTGACTGTCGGATACTGTATGACCCTTGGGTTCTGGTCTTTCGTTTCCTTGTTGCTTTTGAGAATGTTTGCAACTACTGAGAAATGATGAGTCATTGAGAGGAACTCAGGTGTAACTTAGTGAAAATATATTATGAGTGGCCACTGTGGCATTAGTGGAATCTACTTTTGCCTCTGACAGAGACTCCATTTGTGTTTCTCAGCAAAGTTTCGTTACTAAGTTTCCCCTCTGCTGAAGGACATTCTATTTGTTTTACAAGCATGCTGAAAATGCATGTATGTGCTAAAGCAACTCTAACCTTCTACTGAAATAATACAGAAATTGAGAAGATATTACTGAGACTGTCTCTTTATGTTTAGAGAAAACCAACACCAACGTTTTCCTGTATGCCTGCATCATTACTTGTGTTCTGATCATTATCACCTTGTTGGCTGTCATTTACTATTTCACTCTCCACAGTGATAGGTATGTACGTATGCTAAGGTGCTAAGAAAAAATTGTCTAGTGCTAGAAGAAATTTTAAAGTACTCTTTGTGTCATGAAATCATATGACTGTCAGTCTGTACTGCTGTGATTAACCAAATTAACTACATCAAATATTTCTGTACTGCAGACACTGTGCACTGTGCATTGCACACATCTGCCCAGAAGAATGCCCTGAGTAAAATATAAATGGGAAGAAGTTGGCCAAGGACCCCTGATTGCATTGCCTCCTAAAGGGGAACACTTTAGGAACACTTCATAAGAATCTGTGAGACTAAATCTTCTTCAGATACTGTCATAGTCTGCCAGTATCTCTCTTGGTTTGGAAGAGCATTGCTTCTACTGCCTAATAAGTTCCACTAAATGCCAGCAATGCCAGCCTGCCATATGAACAGAAGGGACAGCAGATTCTATCTGTATTTATTAAAAAATTCCTTGAGTGAAGCTGGGCTCTAGTCCCTTTACGATTTCCTATGAAGAAAAAAAGTAGTTCTGAGGAATACCTACAGAAATAATTTGTGAAGTGGAAGGCTGAATTAGCACCTGTACTGAAAACCTCAGCTAGGTTCCTCATTTGCCTGTTATACAAACAGTTTTACTCTCAGGCCTCTTCCCTCAGAGGTGAAGAATTAGTTCCATACCATTTCACTAACTGCAAAATGTATATCCTTACAGAGGGTTTTGATTCTAATTTGCTTCCATTTTATGCATAAGCACCCACAAACAAAAGAAAAGACCTCTGAAGAAAGGCAGGGTGCTATAATTTCAGAATCAAAATTCAAGGAGAGAGAGACATGAGAAGGTTTTACTCTTGAAGACAAGAAAAAGAAATGTTTCATAAGCTTTTGATCAAAGAAACTAAGCTGTGATCCAGCAAACTTGTTTTAAATACTTTTCTTTTTCACAGACCATGCCACAAAACCAAACCTCCTGAAATTGCTCCTATACATTCCCAACAGGTAAGGAGAATGATGCAAATTAGACAATCACCAAATGAAGGTGATTCTGGTAGCCCTGGAAACATGATCAGTGAAAGGAAAACATCTCAGATTTCAGCAAGTACTGCTGTGTCTGATATATTTACTCTTGGCTCTTTATAGGACAAAACGAAGTGTATCTTCACCATAACTTTGACTTGGAGCAAACACTAGAGGTGTGTTCCAACAGCAAACACTCAGCTACTGCCATCCTTTAATTTTAACAAGGAGTCAGTCCCACCACATTTCCCTTCAGATACTCTGACCACAACTGCTCTCCAAATAATAGTCAGGAAGGGAGAAAATAGCATGGGTTGGGGGATATTAAGAAAACTATTAGTGAACAAGAAGATTAAGTAACAAGATTAACAGACACCAAGAGAAAATCAATATCCCTTTTGGTGTCCAGAATGGTAATGTATGAGTTTTGAAGGCCATTCTTTATCTTGCATGGTCAATCCACAATCAAAGAAACAATCACACTCAAGACAATGGAAGGAGAGCTGAGCTGCAAACTGGGAGATATTTTTGGATATCCTATGTTGTTAGAAGCTTCCTGTGTAACTGAGCAATTCACTTGTGAGCTCTGTCTCTGTTCTCTGCTGCCAAATCCAAACAGCATCTCTATGCAGACAAGATGTGTTGCAATTATATTTTATCTGTGCACCTACAGTATACACTGGACTCAAATTCTGTCATCAACTTAAAAAGATGCTTCAGTTTCTAAAGAGACTTAGTCAATTCTAGTTACTAGTATTCCTGCTGTTCTGTTGCCCTCCCTCCCAGTTGCTGCTGACAGACACAGTTGCATTAATGTAAATTAATGGTTTAAGTACTAGAGTTCTTGCTGTCATGTCACCGGACTTTCATTAGTATGTCTGTAGACTGAAAGGCAGACTGATTAGGAATGAATCAAGGTCAAGACTCCAGCATATTATTTACTCTTTCTAGAGAATCAGACCCTAATAATTTTTTTTTCAGGCCAACAAAAGGGGAGTAGAAGGGAAGATAAAGGAGGCAAGTGAAACAATACCTCAGCTTCACCCTACAAATCTTCGATAGAAACAGCAGTCCATGTTCCTTGGTAGAAAAAGAATAGAGGGTTGTTTGGTTTTTTTTTAGTTGAAGAGGAGTAAATATGAGAGCACTATTTCCCAATTATTTTCTTCAGTCCAGATGAAAGATTTGCAGCATCTTGCCAAGCTAAACTCCTTCTTGTATTCACAGTTTTTGGTTTTGTTTTGCTAGGATGACACAATGGAAGTGGAACCTTATACTACTTATGTGCAGAAGGAAAATGTAATTTATAACTCAGTGTCTGATCTGACAGTGGGGCAGAATCTTCCACAAGACCTGTGTCCAGGAACATGAATGATTCAACAACACCAAAAAAGGAAAGAGATTCTTTATAGAAGACTGGTTATAGAAAGAAACTTAAAGGATTTATTCGGACTTTGGGGCAGCATAGATCACTGGGTCTGCTCAAGCATCTCTGCTTGCTGATGAGTCCATAGTTCTTTTTTTATCCCTGTTTTGCTTTCTTCCTTCAGAACATGTGTTATTCCTTGGGAAGATGTGACTGACCACACGCCATAGGTTTTTCTGGAAAAGAAGTTGTGACAAGTCTTCCCTTTGCTGTTGTTGCCTTGGGATCCTAGTTCTGTCAGTCACTTGTAGTTGTTACTTTGATGCACTTGACACTATGATGTACACATTTGGGAGACCAGAGGAACATTCTGTCTGAACTGAAACAATACACTCTTCCACCAATAGCCACTTTTTTCTAACACATATGTTAGTAACACATGACCTGATGACCTACTGAAAATCACTGAATACTTCAAAAAGCAGAAAATAATGGTGGGGAACACTTAGTTCTGAAAATGGAAATAAGGGATTCATTTAGAAGGTCTTCCACTAAGAAGGAGACTGCACTAGCATGACTAATTCACTTGTTAGGTTCATATCCAGTATTTCAAGATGCCATTATGGGGTGTCATCCAGAAGAATCTGGACAAGGTTGATATGTGGGCTAATGGGAATCTCATGAGATTTAACAAGACAAAGTGCAAGGTGCTGCACCTGGGTTGGGACACCTCCTGCTATCAATGCTGACTGGGGCATGAACAGATTGAGAGCAGCCCTGCTGAGAAGGACTTGGGGTCAATGAGAGGCTGGCCATGACCCAGCAAAGTGCATCCCAGAAAACCAAATGTATCCTGGGCTGCAACCAGAGCAGCATGGCCAGCAGGGGAAGGAAGGGATTCTGCTCCTCTACTCTGCTCTGGGGTCCCCTGCACAAGAAGGACATGGACCTGCTGGACCAGATACAAAGGAGGCCACCAAGATGATTTAGAGGGATGGAACACCTCTCCTATGAGGAGAGGCTGAGAGAGTTGGGATTGTTCAGCCTGGAAAAGAGAAGGCTTTTGGGTACCAGTACCTGAAGAGAACCTGCAAGAAAGACAGAAATGTACTTTTACAAGAGCATGCAGAGACAGGGCAGTGGGGAATAGATTCACACTGAAAGAGAGGAGGTTTAGATAAGATATTAGGAGGAAATTCTTTTCTTTGAGGGTGGTGAGACACTGGAGTAGGTTGCCAGAGAACCTGTGGATGCCCCACCCCTTAAGGTGTTCAAGAATAGGTTGGATGGAGCTCTGAGCAACCTAGTGTAACGAAAGATGACCCTGCCAGTGCCAGGGGTGTGCACCCTGATGATCTTTAAGGTCCCTTCCAACCCAAATCACTCTATGATTTTGTGATTCCCACTAAATATGTTCATTCTGTGCTTCAGATCACTGGTATGATTATTTTTCTACAAGATTCCATGAAGATATGGCATTCCTCTCTTTCTTAAGAGTATAAGCATTAAGATTAATAAATAAAAAATACTTATGTTACTCAAAACCCATAGGCTACTTTAACCAAAAACAAACATAAAATATTTCACAAAACAAAACAAGTACAAACATATCTTCTATAAATGTGCAATAATGAACAAAAAAGATAAAATGCTTGCTAATTGTAGTAATATTTATTTTTACTACCAAAACTGAAGTTTTGTTTCATTTGCATGTCTAGATGTTTTACTGATATTCTTTTCAATATACTTGCAAGTTCACTTTTTTGTATGCAAATTAACTTATGTATCTTATTGTGTCTCATTTTGAGGTTGACTTATTCTCACCTTCACAAAATATCCCTTGGAAATAAGTAAAATAAATTGTCCTGTATATAGTAGCAATTCTCAATTTTTTTTGATTGATGCCTTTCCAGCAAAAGTATGAACTGACTTTACAGTAAGAATAAAGAAACATTTACAAACCTCTATTGACTACTTATTTCAGTATTTTAAAAGACTGACTGGGTACTTGGTCTGATTGCAGCATCAGAAGAACTGGATTTTTCCTTTAGATTTAGAAATATTTTTTGACAGACATCATTAAAGCTTTCTTTTGAGCTAAGCTCTCAAGGACTATGACACAGTGCTTGGAAAACAAGACTTCTAAACTGATTGCAGTTCCTAAACATGTTACTCATGTAAACTGATACAGCTGGTTATTTACTCTCACTCTAGCAGCTATCAAACAGCCACTCTTTTCCAGGTGCTTTTTGCAAGCAAGTATTGCTTTTCTCCATTTTTGCATGTCATTTTAGAGTGGAAGGGATCAAAGCTCAATATCAAGCAGCTACAAACAACTTTTAAAGGGGCTTCAGTTTCCAGTGACTGACCAAGGAAGAGAGCCAGTCAACACAGGCATAATCCTCTGAAAATCCTCACTTAAAATAGGTGTTATACTGACCAGTGGTATTTTTTTCCCACTCAAAAACAGAGTGCCATCACTTCTTAAGAATGCTTTTCTGTGGACTGGAAAGTGTTTTACATTGTTCAGTGCTCATAAATGGGGTTCATCAGCTTTTGAAGGTAGGTTGTTGCCAGTTTATAAGCAATATATATTATATTTACAGAAGTGTATTACCTGCTAACCCGCTATCTTGCAGTAGGGTTTTATCATCCTTCACAGGCCTACCACACTGGACTAAATCACATAAGTTCCAGACCTGCACATTGCTAAGTTGCTAACTGGTTGATTATTTTCTTTGTCCTTTACTTTGTTCCACATTCAGACTGCTAGGAGCAGAAAACCAAAATTTTAGTTTGTGACTGTGATAAATAATATTAAGAGTCTTACGTATACACACATGCAGAGGAATGCTCTTGGTCCCCAGCAGCACGGAATTCAAAAGCAGAGTCCCTTTGTGCACTCCTCTCTCTCCCTCAGGGTGCTGGCTGCTCCTCTGTGCACCGTGCTGCTGTTGTGGTGCAGACATCCTCCACACAAAAGTGCTGTGTTGGCTGACTCTGAGCAGTCAGGCCAGCCTTCACTCTGAGCTCCCCAGGATGTTGCAAAGTCACAGGAAGAAAGTCAGCAGCTTTTCAGCTCATCCCGTGCAGAAGGATTTTGGCTTTCACCACGTTTACCAATGCTCTATCTCGTGCCACCACATTTAATTGTGGTACATTTGCATCTTGCACTCTTACTGCTGTATTTTGTCTTCACACACATCTTTCAGTCTCCTGGCAGGCGATAACTGCCATTCCTGCTCTAAACAAGCAGTTAATACTCACAGTTTTCTTATGACTGTAGAGAGTCCCGAGCACCCAGCTCACACGCACAGCACAGCAACTGATTCTCTGCCGCTGTGCATCCACAGAGTAGCTGCTCACCTATTCTTTAGGATGGCAGTGAAATACTAAAAAATGGATGCACCACAAATCCCGAGGCTGAACACAGCTTCTGTACGTGCATCAATTTCTGGGCGTCCCCAACCGGAAATAGTTTCATGGGAGCAAGGTCAAGCCCTTCATCGCTGTAACAAAAACACAAAAGATTTGGTTACAATGCAAATATCAGCAGAAAGGTAATTATATCCTCATTTACCTGCTTCAAACAGCTTTCCTAATAACAGAGTCCAGTAAAAGGGATGTTTCAGACATTACCCAGTCCCTCAATCCCAGCGACTGGCAGGATTTACAGCTACCTTCTCCTTCCAGTATCACCTACTCATGTTTGATGGTTTACTACTTACAGCCTAGTTTGTAATCCTGCTGTCCATTGTAACCCTTTGGTTCAGTGTGTGACTGCTGAAGTACTGTTCAGCTTGCTTTCAGTTATGAATTAAAACAACTTGAGGATCTTCTGTGTTTATCATCTTGGCTTCAGAAATGTAAGTTTTCATTTTCGAGCTGGGTGATTCACATGAGCATTCTCCCTCTAGATGTAGCAGGGGTTTCTTCATACAAATCTAAAGAATAAGTCTACTTACACAAATCTTGAGAATGAGTCTATTGGAAAGGGAATTCTAGATATTTTTTTTCAAAACCCCCAATTTATTAAAATGAAATTTTTTTAAAAAATCTAAAATCTCTGGCAGAATAAAAACTGATTCAAATTTTATTGGTAGGGAAATAAAACTACAGTGCATTTAGTCATAACTAGAAAGAAAGATAAAAAAAATACATTTGCACAGAAGTTATGCAGTCAGATGAAAACCTATTCACAGAAAATACTAAGCAAAGAATATTCACTACTAAATATATTTCATAATGAATACATAAGAAAGGCTTCCACATCCTAACTTTTTCTCCCTTGCATTCACCATTGAGAAAGCTTTTCTCTCTGATGGACTAAGGATGACAGCTATTTTCGACCATGTGTTAACTTTGAAAATAATCCACCTCATGCTTTTTGTCATTTACCTCAGATAGCACTGTCCTTAGTCAGGAAACTGCGTAAACATCCAGAAAAGTACCTCATCATTTTTATTCAATATCTTTGCTAAACCTCTTCAATGACATCTGCTTAATAGCAATTACATTCTTAAGCATGTGGGCATACTGAAATTATTTCTAACTACATAAAGACTGTCCTGTAATTTCCTTGTGGTTCCCATCATCTGCCTCTGTCAGCATTGCCCTTCAATATGTGTTTAAAACTTTAACCATTAAAAGGCAGATGACATAACGAAATTCTGAGTTTGCAAAGCACCTTGAATAAAGGGATCCTAATCCAAAACTAAGGATTCACCACCTTTTGGAAATACAAATTATTAACAGAATCTGGAAACCAAACTGGACAGGTAGCTTGTTTGCTAAGTATTATGATTTATACTAGCCAATTCACTCCAGGAGATACTGTTTGCACAAAAACTTCCTCATTCATCACTACAGATTAATTTCTCCATTAAAAAAAAATTCAAGAATTTTTTTTTAAAAACAGAACACCTGCTTCTGTCCACAGCATCACAGCTACTACATGCAACTCTAATGCTATTGAGTAATATTCCAGCCTGAGTCATCAAACTCGTAACACTGCATTTTGCTCTGCCAATTTTCCTCTTTTGTAAGAGCATATTCTTATTACACTGTGCACAAGTCCTGCTATTCTTCACATTTATTCACTGAACTCCAGTAGTTATTATGCAGGTGTCAGCATTACCTTTAGCAATCAGCAGCTGCGAAACATTGGTACACAAAGGAGCTCAAAGGGAGGAGATGCACACAGTCAGCTTTGTTCTGTTAGCATCAACATGCTTGTTGCAGAGTAATTGAGACTGACCTGTAAAATGACTGTAGCAGGATAACTACTGAGAGGTTATTTTGATGGCCTGTTCTAGCTTCAGTTATCTTGATCTTTGGTCTTCCACAGCTGTTCAGTAAAGCAGAAAGTGATATGTCACTGTGGTAAATTGTGGGAGAAAGAGGAAAAAGAGACTTCACAGCTTTGCTGCACCAAGTTATAAATTTGGTTATGAAAGATTCTAAGGTTTTTCACTTTACCTCAAAGCCTTTCTGACACTATTTTTTTTTTCCTAGCTCAATATTTTCGGGTATACTTCAGTATATTTCATCCTGGGTATAAGAAATATTCTGGCTATATCCAAACAAAAACAGTAATTCAGGAACAGATTATGACCACTAGATGACAGTTTTACCTCACCCTGTGAAAAACTGCCACAGAGAAGCATTAGTTCTCTTCATACTTTCTTATTAGGTTTAGGATAGTAACTAATTTTCCTACATTTCCTACAGTTTCCTACATAGAGCTTGATTTGTGGCAGAATGTTCTCACAAAAAAGAAAAAAAAAAGTCATTTTCTTGTGCATAACAACATTGAGAAATAAGGCATTTCAAATGAGAAACAACAGAAATAACATACTGTACACCAAGAAACTAATTCAGAAATCATTGGAGATTTCTCCATGATAAACACAACACTCAAATGCTCAGTGCTAAGTAGGTTCTGAGGGTACAGAGAAAAGAATAGGGAAAAATCTGTGGGATCTCTAGGGCTGGCATTGTAAAAGTCAAATGAGGGAGTGATTAATGAGACCTCAAAGGACTGCAGATATCAAAAGGAAGGAGTTCCCTTCCTTTTTCAGCACTCCAGCTTTGCAGTGCAAAGGCTCATTCTCCTCCTCTTTATTCTATTTTGACTCTTCCCCTGCACCCTTATGGATCTTTCACAGAGAGAACCAGGGACCAAATACTATTAAAAGTTTGCATCCCATCACAGTCACACACCTTAATTCCCTTCACATTTCTAGTGAGTGACCACTTCATATCCTCAGTTCAACCCACCCCCCTCAGCACTCAGACCACTCAGTACTGAAATGCTGATAAAAATGTTGGATGCTGCCAACAAGAGGCTCCTGTATCACCACATTCCAGACACAGTGTGGGTGTCTGATGACATGCACACTGGGCTATATAATGTGAGAAGCTGTTTTTCCAAATAGAAAGCAAACAGATGTCTGGGTATGGACTTGTGTGATCCATCATGCTTCTTGGCACGCTGTTTCAGGAAAGGGAAGTGGGTGGGTCCCAGTGTGAGGTCCCAGCAAAGAACAGGGACATCTGGGTTAGCTGGTCCTGTTGAAAGGTGGGACCAGCACAGAGAAACTTAGGGGAGGTTATATGGAGGTGGTTTATAGATGAATGACTGTAGTACCATGCTTTTTAGAAGTGTTTACTACTGGCTGGCTGCAGTGCAGCTGCCTTTTTCCAGCTCCAGAACCTCTATTTGAAGAAAGCAACTCAGCACATTACAAGTCTGCTATCAAGGTGAAATCTGATTGAGAAAATATCCAAACCAAGGTGTTGCTGTAAATGTAGGAACTGCCACAGCAGAGCAGCACGAGAGGTGACAAAAAAAGTGATTTCTTAAAAAACATAATTTCCTTTACGTTGTTAATCCAATAAGGCTCATGTAAGTAGACAGTCATGGCTCTCTGAGTTTAGTATCAGTACTTCAAGAGCAGTCCAGA